TGGTACGAAATACTAATGATTGGCTTAGATACCACGTATGGTATGAATCATTTATGATTGACTCAGGTACCGCACTGATATACTAATAGTTTGTGTGTGGATTCCATAAGAGAATAAAGTTAACTTCCTTGTAATTGATGGTTACATGTTGATTCATGAATGGTCAGGCTTGTGTTTAAATATGTGGGATGGTTCTTGAGTAGACCAGGTTTGCATGTTAAATACTATGGATGATATTTTAGTGATCTTAATGGTTCGGGTTACTCGAAAAGTGTGATGAATCAGGTATGAATTGTTGTATTGAGGCTGTTCATGTTTTTGTGCATGTCATCTAAGGGTGAGGACATAGAGCCAAGGCTATGTTATACTTGTGGTTATAATTGTATATCTGTTTTGCTAAGTTGTGTTACTAGGTCAGGCTGATGAACGGGGGTCTAATGCATAGTATAAAAGCTAAGATTGGTTATGATTGTTCAATGTTTAAATCATATATGATAAGGGAGGATCCGAGTTAGGTTGACATAGTAAAGGTCTGGTAGGTGGTTTACTAAAATGAATAAGGGGTCAGAGTGTTGGCATGGGAGCTTAGGGGAGAATAATATGTTGGTTACTAGAGTTAGTAATAATCTTATATTAAGAAAATCTCTATGTTATGGAAGGATTAGGTTATGATCTGATATGAGAGTGCCATAACATATAGGCTTGTGAAACCTTAGAGTGGTAAGAGGGTCGAATGTCTAAATAACAGAGTTGGAAGTGGAATGAGGTAGGAAGTTGGGACCAAATGTACTAGTTTATGAGCTTTATACCTGGGATGGTAAAAGTCATTAGATAAAGACTTGAACAGAACGTATGAGTTCTAATGAGTGTTGTCATATTAAGCAGGGTAAATGGATAGTTCGAGGTCTTAGTTTTATACTTAAGTTTCATGTTTCTTGAGCATTTACATAATATTATGTGGTAGGAGTATGTCGATTGATTAAGCCTATCAGTACATATTGATTGTACTGATACTATTCTTGCTATGCAATTGGCATAGTCTAATTGCAGGAATCAATGATGTTTATATGTGAAGACGATCGTGATCTCCAACAGCTTCTACTCCTTTTTTCTTATGGTAAAAGTAATGTAGTAATTTTCTATCATACATTATATCATCTTAGTAGCTCTTATACTTGTTTAGATTAGTTTCTGAGAAGTGTTAATTTGTCTATTTTATAAATAACCTGGAGTTTCAAAATCAATTTATTGTAATTCCATAAATACACGTGATGCTAGAATATGTTTTATTTATTTTCATTATGTCATGATCGGTTTAGTGGTTTAGGGTTCTCCTATTTAGGTGTTAGAGTAGGTGCTTTCACGGCTTAGTGGGTTGGGTGTCATGACCCAAAGTACACCCTAGATGTGACATGACGTATAAAACCCAGAGAGTCTCTTCACAAGACACTTGATATACATACAATACAATAGAATAGATAAACAAATAGAATAGGTAAAATAGTCTCATATCATGGAAGAAAAGTTTGAACATAAGCTAGGAAATCATACTAAATCTTGATAAGCCGTTCTAAATATCAATAGAGTGGTTGGGACGTAACTCATACACCACACACAAAGTCTGAAAAGAAAAGCGAATAAAGCAATAATTCCTTCATGGTCTTGCCCTCGAAGTATGAGGACTCACCAATCCAAGGAAATGAAGCACAATCCAAATCTAGCAATGAGCGGAGGAGGAGAAACGTCGAATCCTATATTATAAGACAATATAGGCACAAGTATGCATTAGTACATGAAAATGTACTAGGTACGGGGAAATGCATGAAGACATAAACATGATCATTTTAGGATTTTAAGCATGGTATATATGCATGACCAAGCTAAAACATAGTAAAAAGCTTTAAAGAAGAATCATAAATAATGAACATGGTCAATGCATCTAAAAATCATAATGGAAGCTTTCATAAAACCTTTTTAAAGGTAACTTAGTTCATTTTTTCGGATATTTACCATCAACCGACATAGACCATGTGAGCTATAACATGGAATTTGGTGTCTTGCTCCCATACCAAAAATAGATGTCTTACTTGCCAAGATAAGGACCATAATTTCTAGCTTAGGTGGATCTACTAGCTATATTTTTCTAAGACAAATTTTACGAAGGCACGTAGTTAGGGACAAGGATATTGCTACTTGAGATTCGACCTCTACTAATAGTAGAGCCTCAATCTCAATATCCTCTCGGTAGTAAGTAAAGATCCCAACGGAATATTCATATTCATATCATCGTAGTTGGGAAGACATAATTAAACAACCAATCCAATCTTAAGTCATCATAGAGTAACTCTTTTAAATCATAATTCATATATATATGTGAGAAAATCCTTTACATCCATAATTTCATAATATGTGAGAATACCTTTCACAATTTCATTTATACTTATCTCAAAAGCAACCTTAGTTCATAAAATATCTTTTTCATAAAACATATATAACTTTCATAATTCATCATTCATAAGTTTATAGTTTTCGTCATAAATTCATCATCATAAACATATACAATACATGAGTCCATATGAAATCAATTGAAAAATATATAATTGAATCAAATCATGCACAATAAGATTGAAATCAAACAATTGAATGATAACAAATAAGACTCATGGAGATTTGCATGAAACCCTAATCAAATTGGGTGAAATTGGCTTTGAAGATTGAAATTTCTTGGGACCCTATGAATGAATAAAATCCATTGGTGAATTTCAACATACCTTGATGATCAAATCCTAGAAAATCAAGAAGAAAAAGGAGACTTAGAGCTTGGAACCCTAGCTTTCTTCCTTGAGCTTGAGAGAGAATTGGAAAGGGATGAACTTGGATGTGTTTTGGGAATTTGAGAGAATGAAAGGGTTTTGGTAGTTTTAATAATGGAAAGCTAGTTATAGGACTTAGAAATACGATCAAAACGACATTGGTGTAGATACTAAAAGTATAGGAAAAGACCCAAATACCCTAAAGATATAAGTGTCGGAATGACCTATGGGTTGGACCTACAATCCGTAGAAATTTGTACGGCCCGTACTGGTCAACCGCAAAACCAACTTTAGAACCCCAATGTTCAATCAACTTTTCACTAGACCTTTCTACAATTCGACGTTCAGTCTACGATCCTTAGATTCCTTCCGTAGAGCCCAAGTTGAAGTTCAAAGTTTCACTAAGTGTAGAACCATTCTATGGAACCCATCTACGAGCCGTCATATATCCTATGACTTGTCATGTTCACTGGTAGGTCAAACTTCAGAAACTTGAATTTTTCAAAAACTCAACTTCTATGATTTCCCTTCTACGGCCTGTAGGACTTCCTACAGTCCGTAGATATGACTCGTAGTTACTGCATCAGTGCCAAAATTAAACTTTTTTTAAATCCAACTTTCCAATTTTCGAGGTATTACTTTGTCTTTGGGATATATTTTGTGATATGATTTTATCTGAAGTTAAAAATAAAATTTAATACTATACGGTACTCAAAATATTCATCACAAAGTTTGGGCCCGTATTAGATCATAATAATTAGCAACTTAAAAATTTAAAAGACATAAAAGAATTACCAGTATCTCATAAATTAGAACATAGAGAGTAAGATATATTATTAAAAATTACATAAAAATATTATAAATCATAATAACTAACAACTTTATATATCTAAAATTCATATTAACAAATTAGTTGACTCTCCAATTTCTATCTGTATCATAAAAATTAAGATAAAAAGTAACATATGTTGGGTTTATGCTTGCATGGTTCTTGTGACTAGTACTCCTTCTGTCCCTAATTACTTGTCCACTTTTGAATTGACACATCTATTGAGAAATCAATAATTGACATAGTGAGTTTACAATTTTACCCTTATTAATTATGAAGTTGATGAATTAAAAACTTAATCTTTTCAAGAAGTTCTGCCTTTTTTCAAAGTAATTAATTGAGAGTATAATAGTTTAAAAAAATGTCCTTTCTTGATTTGTCAAAATTGACAAGTAATTAGGGACAACTAAAAAAAGAAATATGGACAAGTAATTAGGAAAAAAGGGGTATATAATAAGAAAGTTTGAGGTGCCAAAAAAGGTATTGGCACAATAAAAGATGTGTTATAATTATTGTATCATTTTTTAAATTATTTTGACCAAATTAATCTTTATTACCCCTAAATTTTTAACTGCAGCTTTTGAGTTGCTTTTCACTTTCTCTTTCATGGCCACGTGGCTATCTACCTTAGTGGTTGTTATGTTAAGAAGGTTGAAGGTAATTTAAACTTTTATTTTATCTTTGGATATTATAAATATGAAAAAATCTGAATTATTATAAATTATAATAGTTAATAATTTAAATATTTAAAAATATATTAATATTTTAATTGACTTTTGAAAACTTTACTTGTGTTCTTGAGACATAGGAAATAACTTATATCATTTGAATCAAATTCTGAGTATTTTTTATACTTCTAAAAAATTAACATAATATGATACAAATAATCAAAACGATTTTTGAAAAAATATCGTGAAAAAAGCAAAAAGAAGTCCATGTCCAAAAAAGTATTTTTAAAGGAAAGCTTTTTTGATTGGTTGTCCAAAATGTAGTTGATCTGTAAATCTAAAAAAAGTTGCGGGGTATTTGTTGGAGTTTTTGTTTGTTTGTTGGACTATTCTCTTTATGATGATTTAAATTATCTTCTCTCTTTATACTTTATATCTAATGATGATGACCAGTTGAACAGATGGCCTTCAGCCTTTTTCACATCATTGCTCGTCCATTTAAACCGATTTTATGTATAATTGTATCGATACAATTTATGATTTACGAACGTGCTAAATTAATAATTAAATTAGCGAGATATTTATATAATAAATGATATAGTAAAATTATTACTGTATTATTCTTTAAAAATATAGTCGTATGAAAGAACTAAAATGGATCGAGGTACAAGTACATTTTATTAATTGTGATTCGACTCACGTGGCTAGTTCAAATACTATTTTGTGCTGTGAACGGACCCTCTCCAAAGCTCTAGCAAAGCTTTCCATTAAAATATGTGCCTGCCTCCCCCTCACTTTTCCACTCTTTCTTCTCTGGCACCTTTTTTTGAAAGTTGAAACCCTGGCCTCCCTTGAACTTGTAAGTTGTTTCTTCCTTCTTCCATTGTTTATGTAAAATCTTTGTCTAATTAGGATACTACTATATTCACTTACAATGGTTCTATTACAGTCTCTGTTGTTCCCTTTTCTTGTTTTTTTTTCTTCTTTTGTACCAACTTGCTGCTTCTTTTATTCTTTTTCTTGATTCAAAACATATTCTTTTTTTACTCACTGTTTCTGTTTGATTATCCCATAAAGATTGCATCTTTGGAGAAAGAACTTGTCCCCCTCCTTTAGAACAATATAAAGTAGATAATAACATGTCTTTTTTTTTTTTTTTTTTGCTGAATCTTCGTTTAACCAGTCTGTGTTTGCCTCTTTTGTCAAAAGTTGGGTGAAAACATTGAATTTGTGGTTTCTCTACAGTTATATTACTCTGTTATTGCATTGTGTGACCCTTTCTTCTTTCTCATTCTTCAGGTGTTTGATGTTTAACTTGGCTTTGGAATGGATTCAAATGGTAAAGCTGTAAAATTTAGTGGGGAGATTGGCATGGCAGAGAACAAGAAACCCCCCAGTGATGTGGTTGTCTTGATCTCTGAGGATGAAAGGGATTCTAAGAGTCCTGTTCGACCATCAAGATCAACAGTTGATCCCCCTTTAGTTTCCCAGATTCCAAAGACTGTGCAAGTCAGTGATTCCTCACCTGACATTGCAAGGTATCCTCCAAGCCCAAGCTCCAACAAACCACCCAAAATCCCAACTAATGAAACTCTCACTCGGCGAAAATCGCTTGCCAGCTCTGTATTTTCGAAACCCAAGTCAAGATTTGGTGAGCAATCTCTACCTATTGATGCCAACATGTTTGATGAACAACCTGAGCCAAGTGCAAATTCCCCTTATAGGAATGTATCTAACCGTGCTTCGCCTACTGCTAAAATGGGTTCTAGTGATACATTTAAAGAGACTACAAGAACAGTATCTATATCAGTAACCCCAAGAACACCGTTAATGGCATCACCTGGTGGTTTTGGAGGAGTCGATGAAGATGAGGAGATATATAAGAAAGTGAGCTCAAGGAATAAGTTGAAGTATAACAAAGTTAAGACAAAAGTTCTGATTGAATGGCTGGTGTTTCTTTGTCTTTTAGGATGTTTGCTTGCTAGTTTATTGGTTAAGAAATTTGAACACTGGAAACTTTGGGATTTGAAGATCTGGAAGTGGATTGTCCTTGTTATGGTGACCTTTAGTGGCATGTTGGTTACTAAGTGGTTTATACATTTTGTTGCCTTGTTGATAGAGTTGAACTTTTTATTGAGGAAGAAGGTGTTATATTTTGTCTTTGGTCTAAAGAAAAGTGTTCAAGTTTGCATTTGGTTTGGCTTGGTTCTTCTCACATGGGTTCTGCTTTTCTCAAATGAGGAACGGTCACATTCCACTGAGAAGGTTACTAATTTTATTACATGGACTATAGCAGCTTTACTTATCGGATCATTCTTGTGGCTCTTGAAGACTTTGCTGCTAAAGATTTTGGCTGCCTCCTTCCATGTAAATACATTCTTTGATAGGATTCAAGAATCAATCTTTCATCAGTATATTCTACTGACCCTATCAGGACTTCCAGTTATGGAGTCTGCTCAGATGCTGGGGAGATCAAACAGTGTTGCCAGTCAATTCAGTTTCCGAAAAACAATGAAGGGAAAAGATGGGAAGGAAAAGAAGGAAAAGGCGGTGATTGATATTAATAAGCTTCATGAGATGAAGCGAGAAAAGGTCTCTGCATGGACCATGAAAATGTTAGTTGATGTAATATCTAACTCAGGACTTTCCACTATCTCTGGCTCGTTATGTGAAAATGATTATGATATAGGATGTGAGCAAGCAGATAAGGAGATCAACAATGAGGAGGAAGCAATTGCTGCTGCCTATCACATTTTCAGGAATGTCGCACCGCCTGGTTCCAAGTAAGAAAACACTTGCATTTGAAACATCACTATGATGTTTTAGTTTGTCACATCCTAAGTAAATATCCTATGACATTCTTTTATTTAGTGTCATCTCTCTTGATTCACATAAATCATAACCTCACTTTATTTATTTTTTTCCGTGTGTGTAGGTACATTGATGAGTATGACCTTAAGAGATTCTTGATTAAAGAAGAGGTCGATATTGTGCTCCCCATGATAGATGTGGCAGAAACTGGACAGATTGATAAGAAAGCATTGACGGAATGGGTGGTATGCTCAGAACTTAATCATTTTTTTGGATTATGCTTGGTAAATTGATGTAAAAGAATTTAAATCAGTCGGATTAAGGGTACACCATGCTCATAATGTTTGAGTTTGCAATAACTTTTGGCATGATTTAAACTAGATCCATTTCATCTGGTGTTTAATGACCAAAATGATACAGAATGTTGGGATCTAGAAAATAAAAAATAATAATAATTCTTGACATTTTTCTGGTGATTAGTGAAGCACAATTAGAGCTCTCCTGTTTATGTAATCGCATCATGCACATGAACCACATAATATAACTGCTTTCCTGCAAGCACCTCAGGAAACAGGAAAGCAGCCATCTAAGTGAATAGAAGCCATCTGCTGGTGTAGATTAGATGTCAAATGTATGAGTCCTTCCTATTGACTTTGCTAGGTCATTCGTTGGATTTATGAGATGGTCATGGAATGAGTATTTATCATTTTTGGCATACCAATCACTTGTACTTTTTGGCATATCAATGTCTTGCAGGTTAAGGTTTATCAAGGACGCAGAGCTCTATCGCATGCTTTGAATGATACAAAAACTGCTGTAAAGCAATTGAACAAGCTTGTGACATGCATTCTGATTGTCATAATAATCATCATATGGCTCCTCATGGTGGGTATAGCGACTACTAAAGTGCTTGTCTTTCTGTCGTCACAACTCGTGGTAGCTGCTTTTATTTTTGGGAATACTTGCAAGACTATATTTGAAGCTATCATATTTGTATTTGTGATGCATCCTTTTGATGTTGGCGATCGATGCGTCATTGATGGTGTTCAGGTAATGTCTGCTAATTGCATCTTCTTGTTGTTTTGCATTTTCTTTGTTAATTCACACTTTTATCTTGCAAATTGTCAGATGACTGTTGAAGAAATGAATATCTTATCCACAGTATTCTTGAGGTTTGATAACGAAAAGATATTCTACCCAAATTCAGTTTTGGCGGTCAAGCCAATCAGCAATTTCTACAGAAGTCCTGATATGGGTGATAACTTCGAGTTTTCCATTGATTACAGAACACCTGTGGAAAAGATAGGAGCTTTAAAAGAGAAAATAAAGAGGTAATAGAAAGTTCTTGTCATCTTTTTCCAGTATCTGCAGTAAATTTGCATTTGAAAGTTATTAGGAGAAAACACAACATTCATCATTAAAGATATTGACTTCTACAGCAGTTTGTAAGTGCATCCAAAAATTAAAGCTAGTCAAGCTAGAATCTGAACATTCAATGTTGAAAATTCATCTTAAATCCTGGATTTCTCAAACTGTTGAAAAGCGGTTTAATACTAGGGGCCTTTCCACAAAGCTGAGTACTGAAAACCATGAATTTAAGATTCAGCCTAGGCTTTATTCTCCAACAACTACCATTATTTTAGAATTTGAGCTTAGGCTTTATATATCAAGGGTAGTTAGTTTAAGGTTTAAAGTTTTGAGGAAACATATTACAGTTTGGACACGAGATGTTGACTAGTATTTCTCCCATGGCAAAACTGTAACCTGCTCAAAGACAATGCAAATCCTCAACTTGATGTTAGATAAGGATATCTTACGTGTATAAGTATTGCCCTATACTCCTATTCAAAAAAAGTTAGTAAAAGTATTGCCCTATACTCCTATTCATAAAAAGAAAAGAAATTTTTTTGCCCTATACCTTGTGATTGTTGAGATGGATGTGTGGACATACTTGGAGAGATAGGATTAGAAATGAAGATATTCGAGACAAGGTGAGAATGACCTCCGTAGTGGACAAAATGAGGGAAGTGAAGCTAAGATAGTTTAGGCATGTGAAGAAGAGATGCACATATGCCCCAGTGAGAAGATGTGAGAGTTTGGCCATGGGGGTCTAAGGAAAGGTAGAGGTAGGCCGAAAAACTATTGAGGAGAGGTGATTAGACAACACATGTTATACTTGCAATATACTGGGGACATGACCTTAGATTGGAGGATATGAAGGTCGAGGATTAGGGTAGAAGGTTATTAGGTAGTCGACATTGTCTAGTTTTCCTTGTCATTTCTGTATTACATTTTCATACTTGCTTTGAAATGCGTTACCTGAATTGAGGTAAGGTCTGCGTACCCACCCCACCCCTGGGTATGTTGTTGCCTTATACCTTGTAATGACATTCATTTTTCAGTCAAGTTTTTGATTTTTTACCTTTCTTGTTATTGATGTATCAGGTACTTAGAGAAAACTCCCCAGTATTGGCATCCAAATCATAGTGTTGTGGTGAAGGAGATTGAAAATATGAACAAAATAAAAATGGCAGTCTTTTTCAATCATACGATGAACTTTCAGAACTATGGCGAAAAGAACAGACGGAGAACTGAACTGATCCTAGAAATGAAGAAAATGTTTGATGACCTGAATATAAAATATGATCTTCTTCCTCAGGAAGTTCATCTTGTCGAACAGAGAGGACACTAGATGACTTTATCTTCAATGAAGAAAATGTTTTGATTAATAGTGTAGCTTCCACCTGGCTCTGCAATGCTGAAGACTGATATTTGTAACATAGAAGTTTTATCTGCTAATATTTTTTGATGAAATTATGTTGCAAGGGATTTATCCTTGTCAGTTTTCACAAATTTGGTTTCTGATGTTTTTACCAACTCTTGTGTTCTTCGAGTGTTGGTGGGCAGAGGAGTCAGAAGAGCACTTATTCTTTCTCCTTTTCTATATTAGCTTTCAATCTCTTTTTCATAATTCAAACTAGTAATGAGCATCTCTGTGATGGATGACAGGCAAAAAGGCAAAAAAGAGAAAACTGAGCCTTTGTGGTGAATTTGTATGACAACAACTAGTACTAATCAGTGAGTGACAGTAATGTATCCTAATTAATATATGCAAAAAAAAAACTATACTTCTATGTGCCTTCTTTGAAGTTTTAAACAGCTCAATTCTATGTATATTTTACTTCCCTCTTGATCTGTACAACATTCCTGTGTAGTGTTGTTCCTCTAAACAGATCATTGCACCCCAGATTGCTGCTACTTCTTCCTTTTGAAAATGTTTTCCGGTAGTTTACTCTTTATGAGAACACAAACTCTATCCTAGAGGAGTCCTAATATAGAATACAAACTGTACACCAAATCTTCATAATTAAAAATTCAAATTAATGTGTATCTATAACTTACTACCAAGTACACTATTACATCTCCTTAAGTTGGAGCATGGAGGGCTCGAATGCCTAACTTGACAATCAATATTTGAAACTGGTGTGTATCTAAAGCTTAATAAAAACATCAGCAAGTTGTTGTGTTGAAATATGATGACAAACCAACAAACCCCTGTTGAATACAGTCTTGAACATAATGACAGTCCACTCAATATGCTTAGTCCGTTCATGATAAACTTGATTATTGGTAATATGAGGTGCGACTTGACTATCGCAATATAAAGAAACTGGATCTGAATGAGGGACATATAAGTGAAAGGAATTGGCGTAACGAGATGATCTCACAAGCAATTGTTGCCATGGAACGATATTCTACTTCAGCAGAAGAATGCGACACTGTTATTTGTTTCTTGCTCTTCCATGAAATAGGTGAGAGATCAAGAAATATGATATACCTACTGGTTGAACGACAGGTGAGTGGATACAGGGGTGATTTTTTTTCTTCGTCACCACTGCTAGGCAGTCAGCACACTCACAAACTCAGCCTCACACACACACTCACAAATTCGTCCAAGTCTTAGGCATCGTAAGTGTAGCAACAACACAGAAATGTAGAGGAACAAGTCCCAACCTTTATTAATATCAAAGGTACACAAAGGACTAGGCTTCACAAAGTTACTAAGGCACAAAACACTCTCTCATGCCTTAGTCGAATTTATGCCCAGTTTTAAAGCTCTACACATAGGCAGTTACAACTGCTCATGTACCCTGCACATGGCTTAACAAAATTCTTATATGAAATTAACTAAGTACAACTTAATAGTTCTAAGATCAATACAACATTCAAATTTCAAAATAAAACAACCCATGTGCCACAGAGTACACACATGGTCTTCATTTGCCTAAGCCAAATTTCCGTCCCCAACACTGGGAACATTTCAGCCTTCTTCAACACTTAGTTTTATTTCCCTGTTTGTGCCAGCTTCATGCCCACACTGAACAACCTTTCTTGCCCTCGTCAGGTCATTTTACTGCCTTGCCATTGTCAAGCCAACCGTCTGCCTTGCCTTGCCGGTGTCCACTGTTTTTGCACGCATTCCCATCAGGTGTCATGCGCCTGTCCTTTCCACTGTGCCCAAGTCTTGTTAACCAACACTCTAGCATCCTTGTCTCATGTCACCCAACTAACACTTAGTCGCCAAAACTACATTGTTTCGTTACGCACATGCCAAGGACAATGTGGAAGTCCTTTCCATGCCCTTGTTGATGTTGCTTACTTAGACCGAGTGTCTAACAAACTACCCCCACCAATTGAACTCGATTCCCTCATCAAGACTGTTTTGAGGTAGTCCTTGATCTGGTCATCAAACTGCCACAAGTTTATACTATTCTGCCGAACTACATCTGCTACAGCGTTGCCCATCGAATGAACTAAGAATTCTATCTTAGTGTGTCTTACTTCTGCCCACGACCGAGTGATCAAGTATCTCCTCAATTTTTGCCTCAAACAAAGTAATTGGTACGGAAGGAGGAGCCCTCTTCAATTCATTCCTGTCCAGATCATCATCATCTGCAAAATAAGGCTTCAAGAAACTTACATGGAAGGTTGGGTGTATCTTCAACCTTTCTGGCCGTTCTAGAATAGGCAGATGCTGCAACAAACCTGTCTCTTTCTTACACTTTGTCTTGTCTTCTTGGTAGATATAACTACTCTTCACGTATGACTCTATATCGTTTTCCATCTTAGGCTAGAAATAAACACGCGACAATAAAGCTAGCATCCTCTCAAAAACTGAATGACCAGTCCAAGTAGCGTCATGTGCCTCTTTCATTAAGTTTTTACATCATCCACCACCCTTTGATACCACGATTATCCCCTTTAAAATGGAGCAGATCGTCCTCAATCTAGTACCGCCTCAATGTCCCTTCTTGCACTTGACATATAACGAGTCTTTTAATGTGCACAACCTGATTTGATCAAGGAAATCAGTTTAAAGCTTATAAATTGAATATAAATGCAGCAAATACCGCTTTTCTACTCAATGCATCCGCGACTTGATTGTGTTTTGTAGAAAGACTGAAGAAATGGGAGTTGATTTGGAAATTTTCCAATGAATATTCTTTATTAATGCATATATGTATTTATACAAGTCGTGTAAAGAAAAAGGGCAGACTAGTACCTTCAGCTGTCACCTAATCATTTGATACTATACTGACAATAAATAACAAACTATACAACTGTAAATATTCCTATACAATGCTATGTAACTAAATCTGAAATTTCATGTATATCTGCTGTATTTCTGCTTGGGCTAGATATGCCATTACTAGGACCATTCTTAGTGCATAAGCCTACTGACTTAGGCCCAAACAATTTAGGCCCAAGAGATGAATCTTGAGTACACAATGAGAACTTTGTCTTTGTTTGAATCACATCATCATCTTCACTAGATACTGTAAATCCAACACCCCCCTTCAAGTTAGAGGGGAGAGACACCTAACTTGCAGAGAATCGAACAATGAGATGGCCCAGACAAGGGCTTAGTGAAAATGTCTGCAAGCTGAGCAGAAGAAGGTACAAATTTGAGAGAGCTCAGTTCAGAGATAAATTGCTGACGGACAAAGTGGCAGTCGAGTTCGACATGCATTGTCCATTCATGGAACACGGGATTGCGAGCAATATGTAATGTGGCTTGGCTATCAGAGTGTACTGGAATTGGTAAAGTGGGCGGAAGCTGACAAATCATGAAGAAGGCGATCTAACCAGGTAAGTTCAGCGACAATCCGACGCATTGATCGATACTCAGCTTCTGCCGATGAGAGTGAAATGGAGACCTGCTTTTTGGATTTCCAGGAGATAGGAAAGCCTCCTAAACTGATGTAGTATCCACTTACAGACCTCTTAGAATCGACACACGACGCCCAATCTGCGTCACAAAAAGCAAGAATGGAAAAAGAAGGATCACTGCTCATGAACAGTCCTTGGCCAGGAGACATGCGCAAGTTGAGCTTGCCTATTAGTCTCTGATAAGAGAAAGGATCTGCGAGGACGTCTCCAATGTCAGCAGAAAACTTCTGAGAAGGATCAATTGGAGAAGAAACTTCAGGCAACTGCTCACAATTGTAATCAACAAGAAGTTCAAGGGTGAATTTCCTTTATTCACAATCAAACCATGAGCCTCACACACAACTTCCAATCCGAGGAAGTAATGTTAATCTCCCAAGTCTTTAATCTGAAATTCCTTGTGTAAAAAATCTTTGAGTAGGTTGAGTTCCTCAGGATCATTTCCAGTGAGAATAATGTCATCAACATATATAGCAACCAGGGAAATAAAAGATCCTGAATGTTTGTAGAAAAGGGAATAATCATTAAGAGAAGACACAAACCCTTTGAACTGCAATGCTGCCCCAAGCCAAGCATACCATTGTCTTGAGGCCTGCCTCAATCCATAGAGTGACTTTCTAAGCTTACAAACAAAATTAGGAGAAGGGGGATCCATCCCGGGAGGAAATTTCATATAGACATCTTCTTGTAAATTCCCATGCAAGAAGGCATTATTGATATCTAGTTGAGAAATGAGCCAATTCCTCTTGACAGCCACCGCAAGTAAACAACGGATAGTCGTCATCTTGACAACAGGTGAATAGGTTTCATTGAAATCTATGCCCTCTCGTTGGATATCACCTCTCACCACTAACCTTGCTTTCAACCTCTCAACAGAACCATCTGCTTTGTGCTTTACCTTATAAATCTATTTACAAGGCAAAGCTCTCTGATCAGGCGGTAAAGGACAACATCCCAAGTTTGATTGGCTTCGAGAGCCTCAAACTCTGATTCCATGGCTTTCTGCCAACCAAGATGCAAAATTGCTTGAGAGAAACTTCTAGGCTCAATGATGGTGGAGATAGAGTTAAGTACCTGTTGATTAGAAATAGACAAAGCAGCGAATGGAAAAACAGGAGTAGTAACAGAAGCATTAAAACAAGAGGAAGAAATGTCAGCGAAATAGAGAGAATTGCAAACATAGTTGTCTAAATAGCCAGGCTTCGTGTGAACCCTCTCTAATTTTCTTGGTGCAGCAACTGGAGGAGGGGAGGTAATGAGATGATCAGGGGAGGAATACACAACATTATGAGGTGAGTTAGAGGTAACATGAGAAGGAGTAGACAACATGTCAACACTCTCATGAGAAGGAGAAGATGTAGATGACATAGGTGAGAGAGGAGGAATGGAAAGAGAATGTGAATCCATTGTAGGATCATGAATAGAAGAACTTGAAGGAAATATGGGAGTAGCAGAATGTTGAGTATGAAAGGGAAATATGTGCTCATAGAAAGACACGTCTCTGGATATGAAATTCTTCTTAGAAACTAGTTTCATGACCTTGTAACCTTTCTTGCCCGGAGGATAACCAAGAAAGATACAAGGAACTGCCCTAGGGTCAAACTTAGGTCTATTGTGAGACAAAGTGGATACAAAACAGAGGCAACCAAAAGTCTTAAGAAAAGAATAGGAAGGAGGGGTCCCAAAGATAAGTTCATAAGGTGTTTTCCCCTTAAGTACAGATGAAGGAAACCTATTAATTAAGAAAATGGCGGTTAGCAAATAGTCCCCCCAATGGGAGATGGGAACCTTGGATTGATGTAACAAAGCCCTAGAGGTTTCCAAAAGGTGTCTATGTGTCCTCTCAACAACGCAATTTTGTTGAGGAGTATGGACACAAGTAGTTTGATGGACTATACCCTGGGAAAGAAAATACTGAGATAAAATAGCCCCACCACCCAATTCAAGAGCATTATCACATCTTATGATCTTTACCTTGGCTCCAAATTGTCTCTCAACAAGAACCAAATAGTCTTTAAGTGTGGAAAAAACATTACTCTTGCTAGATAGAAGATAGGTCTTAGTAGCCCTACTATAATCATCAACAATAGTAAGGAAATACTTATATCCATTATATGTAGGTGATTTATAAGGTCCCCAAGTATCAACATGTATGAGTTCAAAAATCCCCTTAGTTTTGATGTAGCTAGAAGAGAAAGAAAGTTTAGTTTGTCTAGCCAAAGGGCAAATATCACAAATGCAATCAAAATGAGACTGAGAGGTAGATAAACTGATGTTTTTCATTGAATCAAAAGACATATGACCCAATCTCTTGTGCCATATTTGTACATCAGATTGACTATTTACAGAAATGGATAAAGGACTAGAAACTGAAATACAACTTGAAGTTAAATTACTAGACTTAGAACTAGAGTTAAAAGAACTCGCAGAAACAAAAGAACACTCTATAGAAGGCTCCAGAAGATAGATTCCATCCTTAGCTTTCCCAAGAACCAGAGGGGTCTTCACTGAAGGGCCCTGCATAAGACAAGATGCAACAGAGAATATTAGATTGCAACAAAACTGTTTGCAAAAGTGGTAAACATAGATTAGGTTTACTCTGAATGAGGGAACAAACAAGACATTCTGCAATAAAAGATTTGGAAAAAGAGGAACAGATCCTATATGTGTTACTTTTACTTTGAAAGAATTAGGCAATCTAATAAGTAAATGAGGAGATAATAGGATGAGAGTGGTAAAGTAAACAGGATCATAAGACATGTGATATGATGCTCTTAAATCTAATATCCAAGAGTTGGTGTTAGCATGAGCCAGATATGCCATAGGATTGTGAAAAATGTTACCAGCACAATCCACTGTATTAGCTTTAATATCAGCCGCAGCAGCCCTCATGTTCTTAGCCTATGCAAGTTGAACTAGATGAGCAAAATTTGCAAACTGTTCTGCAGGCATATTTGCTACTGGCTGCTTTGCACTAGCTAGTGAACTCCATTTACCACCAGCCTGGAATCTAGACCCCTTTGTGAACTTGAAATCAGTTGGGAAGCCTATTATCATGTAGCATTTGTCAATAGAGTGTCCTGGTTTCTTACAGTGAGAGCAAGTGAGTGAGGACTTTCGTCCTCTGAGTTCACCTGGTTGACTTCTCTGTCCAGGGAAAGGTTGATGAGCTGCAAGAAAAGAGGATGATTTCCTTGGGAAAGTAGAACTTACATACCTTTCTTTTTGCTTCTCATCTTGAATGAGAAAAGAATTAGCAAGATTGACATTGGGCAGAGGTGTCATCATGAGGATGTTGCTCCGAATCCCTGCATACACATCATTGAGCCCCATTAAAAATTGTATCAACTTTTCATCCTGAGTGGACTTGACCATCTTCTGTTTTCCTCCACATGTACAGTTGCAGCAGCAGACCTCCTATGTGGAGGTTGCATCAAGCTCATCCCAAATCTTCTTAATCTTTGTGAAATACCCAGCTATATCAGAATTACCTTGGACTGAGTCTGCCAAACCCTTTTGAAGATGAAAGAGCTGAGCTCCATTAGCTTGGCCAAACCTGTCAGCAAGGTCATTCCAGAGGTGTCGTGCTGATTTGGAGTAAATCACACTCCCAACAATCTCTTTAGAGAGGGAATTCAGCAACCAAGAAGTGACCATATCATTGTATCTGGTCCAAAGGTGGAAGTTAGGAGAATCACTAGTAGGAGGAGCATAAGAACCATCTATGAACCCTAGTTTGTGCTTAGCTGATAAAGCTATTAAGATAGACCTTCTCCACCCTCCATAACCATGTCCATCAAAGACAAAATTTATCAGATTCATGCCTGGTGAGTCAGAAGGATGAAGAAAATAAAGGCTGCTGTTATCCAGAGAAATAGCAGTGACTGCATTGGAAGAGCTGGTGACATCCACTGATTCAGTAGGAGTAACCATTAGATTGAAGAGAGCAGAAGCAGAGAAGGAAATGAAAAAAATAATAGAAGAAAGGATCCAATTACTGCTCTGATACCATGTAGAAAGACTGAAGAAATGAGAGTTGATTTGAGAATTTTCCAATGAATATTCTTTATTGATGCATATATGTATTTATACAAGTCGTGTAAAGAAAAAGGACAGACTAGTACCTATAGCAGTCACCTAATCATTTGATACTATACTGACAATAAATAACAAACTATATAACTGTAAATATTCCTATACAATGCTATGTAACTAAATCTGAAATTTCTTGTATATCTGTTGTATTTCTGCTTGGGCTAGATGTGCCATTACTAGGACCATTCTTAGTGGATAAGCCTACTGACTTAGGCCCAAGCAATTTAGGCCCAAGAGATGAATCTTGAGTACACAACGAGAACTTTGTCTTTGTTTGAATCGCATCATCATCTTCACTAGATACTATAAATCCAACATGTTTTCCCAACTTATTCTCCCACACAAAATCATACTCAGCCGAGAATTCATGTTAGTGTGCTTGTTTTGGACTTAACCTTCTTTTGTGTCTTAAAAAACATATTTTCCACATTATCAGTTCTCACCACAAAATGAGTACCCAAAAATTAGACACGCCAAATCTGTAAACAGTGCACAATAGAAATCAATTCTTTCTTATTGATGTGCCATAGATTTACGACACTTTTAATGCTTAAAATTTAGGATCTTTTAAAGTATTTTAGAGCATTTTAGTAGATTTGATAGTTGTTTCACAGGAAAACATATTTTGGTAGCTAAGTGTTTGGAATCAGTTGTGGCAGTGCAGTTTTGGCCATCTACGAGCCAGTTTACAAGCCGTAGATGGTCTTGTAGAAGAAAGATTAAAGAATGATGAAACATGGTCTGAAGTGTGCGAGTAGACAACAGTACAGACCGTAAAAGTATTTACAAATCATAGACTCTTGAACGTAGAAAAAGTACTGAGGTTTGCAAAAGTGGACTGAAAAAATATGAGTGATCAGGACAGGGCTGTAGAAGATTGTACGAGTTGTAAATAGGCATCCGTAGTTGATATTCAAAGAGTTTTGAAAATAGAAGCCTGAGGACTACGATGGACAGTACGAGATATAGAACATTCTACGGATCGTAGATCTCGATAGTAAAAAGTCTTGATTCTGTAGTTCACTGCCATTTAGAAGAAGGCTTCATGAGCCGTAAAGTGTAGTGTACTACGAGTCTACGACCCTTACTTTAGGTCGTAAAATATGCTGAATCCCACTTTTGCCAGAACAGAAATGGTCAAGAAATGCTTTATTCAACTCATTCCGAGAGGTAATGGCCCCTTGAGGCGATTTTTCTAGCCAAGTCGTTGCTTCTCTTGTGAGGGAAAAGAGAAATAACCTTAGCCTAATAGATTCTTGACTGATATTTATAATATTAAATGGCTCCCATATTTCCACAAAATTTTGATTATGGAAATTGTCATCTTTATAAGTGTAAAATGTTATCAACAACTCATAAGTAATGCAATATTAAAATGGTACGATGTGAGTGCTTTGAAGATAAGTGTAAGCTTAGGAGAATAAATTAATTAAATGAGAGGATAATGACCCCGGTAAGGCTACGAAGAGAAAGTGATTCTATTCCAGGTGTTTGATAGTTAAAGTGTCGAAAACAAAGGCAAGCCTATGGTCTGTATGATTGCAGTGTTAGAAGTCCTTTTGGAGAGTGAGTGTATCTGTCAGTCCCAAATTCCTAATTTAAATCATGTGTGAGGGACTTATTTGTGGTGAGGGCACTATGTTTGCATTTGCTAATCATTTAAGTTGACTGAAAGATTGTTACTGGTACAAGCAGCGCATGATCGACATGTGTATAATGAAATGTCGTCCATAGATCCTTGTATGTTAATTAGATGATTTGGGATGTAAGTTTTGTGGAAGTAGATTTTGCATATCTTTGATAGTTTTCTTGTGTATTTGAGAGTGGGGTATTGGTCTTTTTCATCGCTTGAGGACAAACAATAGTTCTAAGTGGAGGGTGTGATCATGCTCACCATTTAAGGACTTAAGGACCGTACTTCAGAGATCAAGGGAGGAGAAGTTATGTGCTAAGTCCAAGTGTGAGTTTTGACTTTCTAGGATCGTGTGGTGACCAGGGATGATATTATGACATATCTTACCAAAGTTGCAATAATTCGTGATTGAGCTAGGCCTACTTACCTTACCTAGATTAAGAGTTTCATCGGGGTAGTGAATTATTATCATAGATCACCCGTTGGATAGTTTAGTTAATTTGAGATTCAACCTTGAGGTATAGATTTATTGAGAGATTCAATTATTAGAGTGAGATGGATTCAACAATGTCTTGTGACTACCTAGAGTTAGCAAAAGAGCTACGAGGATATGTATGTTCGTGATGTGTCCTTTGCTATTGATAAGTGGGTTTTGCGTAAAATGTTGCCCACAAAGAGTGCAATGAGGTTTGGAAAGAAAGAAAACCTTAGTCTGAGGTTTATTAACCTTTTTCAGATTTTGAAGAATGTTAGATCAAGAAAGATTTTGATAATTGACAAATAGAGGAACATATGAAAGGAACCGGTTGCGCCGACATGTTCCTTTTAGATCGAATCCGACTGGAATAAGGAGAACATCAACCACGCGAATTAGAAGTTATAAAAAGGTGGAAGGGTTGCTTTTTCGACAAGAAACCAGTGCAAAAAGGTTTACTTTCATAAAAAGAACTCCTTCAAGGAAGAGGAAACGTGCATAAAATTAGTTTACAAGAATTTCCAAATTCCACATGGATAAGGAAACATAGTTGAAATAGAAAAATGATTCTTGGTCTACTCAGTCTATAAATAGAGCAAGAATAATCCAATGAAACGCGCACACTTAAACAGAGAGTTACAAGCATAATACAATCAAATAGAGGGAGTTCATACTTGAGTGATTTCTAATTACAAAGTGCAGCCAACGCAAGGAAACAAGAATTGAAGAACTGGTTCATAGGCTTATGCTTTATAGTTCTTAAGTCAAATTTGCTTGTATTGAGTTTTTATCGAGTTGTATTTTTATTCTTTCTAGATCAAGTAAAGTACAAATTGGAGTAGGAATAGAGTTTTCAAGTTGGTGCGACTTAATGACTTGGGAACATAAACCTTGGGGGGTTTGTGTTGGAGTTTAGGAATTAGAGTTAGTTCCTAGGCTTGCAAGAGTTGTAATCTGAATTCATAACTTTGAGTGGAGTCGACGATCTAGTTGGTTGTTAGCGTCTAGGAATTAGAGTTTATAATTCCTTAGGTTACATAGGTTTGTAATCTTTTGTTGAGGCTCAGAATTTAATGAAGTGGAGTTAATTCCTATAGAGGTGTAGGTCATGATTTTTTACCCTTTATGAGCCGGGGTTTTCCACGATAAAATATTGTGTCATTACTTTATTTACTTTACATAACATAATTGTTGTAATCTACAAAGGAACATATAGAATATACTTGTTCCTTAGGCAAATCTGGGGGGTTAGTATTTCAACAATTGGTATCAGAGCATGTTATCTTTGTAGAGTCTAATAACTCAAGATAAGATCACTATGAATTCTACACCTCCTCTTGGACACAGTGAAGGTCAACACATCAACATACCACCACTATTCAATGGACATTACTACGCATGATGAAAGGCGAGAAGAGAAGATTTTCTACAAGCCCATGACAATGAATTATGGATGAGAGTTACAGATGGTCTTCTTATTCCTATGATGAAGGGAAAGTCATTCCAAAGCCCAAGGCTCGATATGGATAAGCTGATTATAGAATACTCACAAAGAATGCTAAAGCTAAGTGCATCCTTGTATGTGGACTTGGACCTGACGAGTTCAATCACATCTTTTGTTGTACTACAACGAAACAAATTTGGGACACACTAGTTAATGCACTTGAAGGAACTCCCCAAGTAAGAAAATTTAGAATTGCTAGACTATCCACTGAATATGAAGCATTTGAGATGGAGAGTGGTGAATCACTTCAAGATATGATTACTAGATTCACTACTATTGTGAATGAACTGGTGTATTTGGGAAAAATATATACTACTGAGGAATAGGTGGATAAAGTGCTGAGGACCTACCTAGGTCGTGGGAGATCAAGGTCATTGCAATTAGAGAAGCTAAGGATTTGACAACCATGAGCTTGGATGAACTTGTAGGAAATCTAAAGACTTACGAGATGAATGTTGATAACACAAAAATGAGTAAAAGAAGCAAAGATATGATTTTTTCTTTCAAGGCAACTGATAGTGATGAATCTGATATGAATGATGAGGATATAGTCGTGATCAACAAAAACCTCAGAAAGCTCATCATGAAAGGTGTAGACTATGAGAAAAAATTGTCCCCAAGCAAAGAAAAAAAATCTGACATTGCTATGTTTGTTGCTTGGGGAACAGGTTCAGACAACTCAATTGAAGATTATACAGAAGATGTTGCTTTGATAGCCATGGAGGACTCTGAACCAGACTCTAAATCGGACATTTATAAAAGGGAGGTAAATCTTCTTGACCTTAAAAATAAACTAAAATATTTTTGAAAGAAAAAATTATCTTCCCTTATTCTAACTCTCATAGATAATTTTCAAGAGTTGAATGAAAATAGAGATCAGTTATTGACTTCCTTGACCAGTTTAAAATTTGAATATATTGATCTAGAAAAAATTAATTCTGATCTTAAGAAAGAAAATCAATTCCTAAAGGAACAAGTACAACAACTTGATTCCTGCACTTTGGCTCTCAAATCTGAAATTTTGAAACAAAGTGTTACTGGGAATGGGAAAGAAAAATTAGTGGTGACCAAATCAGATGTGACCAAGATCTAAAGAGGTTAAAAGATGAACTATTTTCTGAAAGGGGAAAAATCTAAAAGGATAAATCTTGACATGGCTAGAACTAAGTATGAGCTTGAGAGGGGAAACAAATAGACTTTGTCCTCAATGATTGTGACTCAGCTCA